GCATTTCAGAGAATCATTGAATTCCTAGAAAAAACTACAGTTTGGGGGAAAGCACTGCATCCATAATTGACTAGTAGTCAATCCTTTTTGTTTTTTTTGGTACTGAAGGTCAGTAGGGTTTCACTGAAGACTTCTCATTTCTGGTTACCACCAACACTCACCTTCCTTCTGGATTGTCTCCAGGTGATGGTAAAGTAAAAGAATGTTTTTCAATTCATGTTTTGCCAGCACCACAAACAGCTTCATGTTTCAAACATGTTCACTCTTAATATAACATGCAGACAAAAGTTAGAAAACACAAGTGAAGAATGAGTTACAGACAGTTCACATTCTTAAAAAGTGATTTGTCCCCCACCACATCCTGCCCATGGTCCTCATTATGTATTTAAGTGAAAAAGAACTAGCTCAGCTTTCAGCCACCTTCTTTCCTTTTTCTCACTCTTTGGAAGTTCCCTCAGGAGTTTCAAGTCATCCCTTCCAGCTAACGCTCTAGCCTTTTAAAGAAAGGTGTTAACTAGCCGGTCATTCAAGTTACCCCAGACCTAGGGGATCTTTTTACATCTGAAGGAAGCCTAAATGGGTGTCTCTAACCTTGAGGTCCAGCCACCTGGCTTGGTCCTCTGCTGGCCACAGGAAGTCAATTTAGGTCATTGCCCAACAGAACCCTGGCTTGAATGACTTGCTGAATAGGGGCTCTCAACTGAGAGGTGAGAAAAAGTGTGGGTTTTAAAACAAAAAATGGTGTTAAGGGAAGTGCTCGTGAAGGGGCAGGTCAAACTTTTTGGAAGGATACATGCTCCATTGGAATGTCACACTTGGGACATTTTAAAAGTAATATTTTTATAGTACAAATTGAAGACAAAATAGGCAGGTGGTGGTGTACTGAGAAGTCTACTTCTCTGTTCTGGGATGGGTAGAAAGTGCGATTATTGGAATCTACTCCAGACAGGAGAATTTGCACGTATCAAAAAAGGACATGAACTTTAAAAATAGTTGAGAAATGTTTTGAGATTTTTAGACAAAGTCTTGGTATACCTTTTATTTTTCTATTGTTCCACATTCCCAAATGGGTTTCAAGGAGCTAAATCCACAATTTTCTACCGCCCCCCCCCCCAAGTTAGCTATAACATGCCAAAGTCTCTAAGTCGTATTTAAACTTTCTTTGGAGTATTTTTTTTAAGCTACAAAATAAAAACAAAGTGTGGGATACATTTAACTTTTAGATATGTTCTGTCTAGTAATAAACTTTATTGAAGGTGGGGACAGGGATTGAACTCAGGGACACTTGACCACTAAGCCACATCCCAGCCCTATTTTGTATTTTATTTAGACAGGCTCTCACTGAGTTGCTGAGGCTGGCTTTGAACTCACCATCCTCCTGTCTTACTCTCCCAAGCCACTGGGATTACAGGCATGCACTACCACACCCAGCATAAACTAATACTTTTAACAGCCCTTGAACTACGTGGATGAAATGTGCTTTATATCAGTGAGCATGTATCTACATATACAACATTATAAGGAAATATAACTCACTGACTAGTGAAAGATTGCCTTAGAAAATAATTAGCTACTGATCCAGATGTGTTAATTTTCTTTCACTGTGGCAAAATACCTTGAGAAAATCAACTTAAAAGAGGAAAGATTTATTTCGGCTCATGGCAACAGAAGTTTCAGTCAATGGTCACCTGTTTCTTCTGTTTCTGAGCTTGTGATAAGGAGGATGGGCATGGTAAGAGAAAGAGTGTGTGTGTGTTGTGTGTGGGGGGAGGCTGGAGTCCCAACATTCCCTTAAAGATCACACCCTCCGTGACCTGCCTCCTTCATGAAGGCTCAACCTCCTAAAGTTTCTGTCACCTCCCTCCCAGTAGTGCAACTAGCTGGGGACCAAGTCTTCAACACATGAGCCCTGGGGGGAACTTCCAAACTATAACACCAAGTCATAGCTTCCCCTGAGGGGATTTTGAAAAAAAAAATCTTTATAGACTCATTGATTGGTTCATACTGCACTCATGAGTCTCTATTCCATCATTTCTAAGGACAAAGTTATAGAAAATAATTACAAGAAGGTCATTTTTAAAAATTAAGAGCCTATGAAGAATAACATTTAAATATTTTATAAAAGTTTTTCCTTATCAAAATACACATTTATCTACATATCTTGAACTATGAGTCGAATGATGTCTTTTTAGCATGTAACCTGGCCCCTTCCTTGCTGTGGGCTATATACTAGTCCCTTCTCTACTTCAGTTTTCTCATCTGAAAATGAGCATAACAATTATAGTTACCTCAATTATGTTACCTTGCTGAACCATTACCAGGTGAGGGGAAAAGGGTAGTTTCTACCCACTCCTAGTACTCCACAAATACTCACAGATTGGCAGGAAAATAGGTTTTATTCAAAGCCAGCTTTGAAAGAAGATAGAAGAAATTTTTATGTTTCAAATTTCCATCTTCAGAAAACTGAATGGCCAGGAAAGCATTTATACCAGAAGTGGTGAGGAGGCACAAGGTCATCATAAACAAACAAACAAACACAAACATAAAAGGCTTTAGCTAGGCTGTGTTAATCAGAAATGTGCCGATCTTACCTTCCTTGGCCTCCATCTTTCAGGCCAGGAGGGTGTTTTTACTTTCAGTATAAGGAAGTGCAAAAAAAGACTGTTAACAGCAAGTTTACAAGTTAAAACAAATTCTTGAGCTGTATCCACAGCTCTAGAAGTTAAAATAATTTGGAGCTTTAATTCTTTATAGCTTTAATTCAGTATAGGGAAGTTGTCCTTAATATTTTGAAGTTTTAAAAACTTCAGCAGTTTTTAATCTTTTCAATAGGAATCCTAAATCAAATGAGGTGATATGAGTATGAAAACCACACGTCCAACATACAATAAGGGTTCAATGGCTGTGTAACCAAATGATTGGCAGTCAAAATACTGTGGTAAGGGATCTCCGGGAACCAGGAGAGAAGGACACGTCACAAAGCAGCTATGTGCTCATGAACGAAGACCGACAGGGCACACCCAGTGCGCATGCACAACTGCTGCAACTGTCATGCGTAACACTGTTTAATTCTGTTAAAATTTGATGGTATAGAATATCTAATTAACATGTATGTTACCATATAGGGAAGACAAAAGAACTAACAAGTAATGTTGCATAGAAGACAGCCCCACTGCACTCCTGGTCTTTGGGTCAGAATACCACAACAATATGAAATATATCATTGAAAATTTATCTTTGAAATATATCATTTGACTCATATTTTGTATCAGTTTCCCTTCCAGTTCTATTTTGCTTACAACACAATGTAACCACCATATCTGCACCATATTGAAATCCACAACATAAAAAAAGCTTGTTTAGGGACTTAAAGGGATACTTCTTCCAGTGGTTAAAATTATTCACCTTCTTTATGATAAGAGCAGAAGAAAGGAAGTAATGTTTAACAAGAACATTGTTTTCCTTTTCTGTTATTGCTTCATCTACGGGATGTGCAGACTCACTTTGGAAGAACTGATGGGAAAAAAACAAATGACAGTTGGAAAGTATAGGATTCAGACAGCACAGTGGAACACAAGGGAGTACTGAACTGTTGACTCCTGAAGAAATGAGAAGTCATTGAAATCAGAATTCCGTCGCTGCATGGCCAAATGACTCTTATTTTCCTAAAATTACTCCAAGAATATTTTGTAACAGCAACTTGAATAAACCAACTCACATGCGACTGTGAGTTCATGTCTGTTTTGCTACCGAAATCAGCCATGTTTGGCCAGCCTTGCTGTCTCACATTTTTTCTTGGTGTTTACCCTTAGGCTTAGCAACCAACCAAACTTTGAGTGGAATATCAACATTTAAGAATGAAATGTATTATTAGTGTACTAATTGTTCTATAGAGAGCGTTTGTGTAATTTGCAATATTTTATTATTTTTTCTTATGATTTTCTGCATGCATAAAATTTTGTTTTTCCCCTCCTCCTCACTATTGACGAGTTTCCAAAAACTGACAAGTAAGTACATTGTGTGACTTTAATTCACTTAAAGGATGTGTTATTATGTTAAATGTTGGTGAATATAGAACAGTAAGGCATGAGACTAATAGAGTGGAAAAAATCAAAAAGGAACAAACATAAACAGAACATTCTTCACCTATGACAAGGACAAATTGAAGTGCCACCCCCACTCCCCGCCAAGATTTAAATACTTTTCTCTTGGCCAAATATCTTCAAGCCTCTGGTTTTTGACTTCAAATGTTTTGAGGTTAAAAGTAGTGATTTTTATTATAAGTAAATTTTAAATAAAGGGTTTTATTTTTATACCACTTTTAAAAGAAAAATCATGAAAGTCATAAAAGTTTTGGTCTTGAAAATATGTACTCCAAACCCATTTCCACATTCTAAAAATAGAGTGTTTTCAAAAACAGGATCCTGTGTTTTGCCAGGCATCTAACGGGAGTAGGCAGGGGAAATGTATGAGATGTGTTTGGGTCAGCTCTAGGCCGAGTAGGGCGTCCTGCACCAACCCCAGACCCTTTAAACCGGGTGGATCCTGTAAGATCACTGATTTACACCCTCATTTTACAAAAACCCAGAGGCTCAGAGTGGCTGAGCCCTGCCGCTGGGTCCAGGACCCTCCTCCAACTGCACTATTTGGGGCCCCATCTAGATGCCGATCCTTTTTGACCTTCACAAAGGTGATTTCGAGTCTCTTGGAAAGACGTCAGAACAGTCACTAAGTTTAGACGTTTTTCGCCTCCGTTCGCTGCGTCCCCGGTGCCCGCCGGCTGCAGTGCAGCAAGAGGCCTCTGGTGGCTCCGCTGTCAACTTCCCGCAGTCGCCAGCCCCGGCCTGCATGGGGCCAGCGCTGCCGGGCCGCGTGATGTAGCCCAAAAAAGGCGCTGCCCCGCACGTGTCCCCGCCGCCCCGGGCCGCCCGCGCCGCCGTCCAATCGCCGAGGCCGCCCGCGCGGGGAGCCCGGGTACCCGGAGCCGCGCCGCCGCCGCCATGCGGTTCCGCTTCGGGGTGGTGGTGCCGCCCGCCGTGGCCGGCGCCCGGCCGGAGCTGCTGGTCGTGGGGTCGCGGCCAGAGCTGGGGCGCTGGGAGCCGCGCGGCGCGGTGCGCTTGAGGCCGGCAGGCGCGGCGGCGGGCGCGGGGGCGCTGGCGCTGCCGGAGCCCGGCTTGTGGCTCGGGGAGGTGGAGCTGGCGCCCGAGGAGGCGGCGCGCGACGGGGCGGAGCCGGGCCGCGTGGACACCTTCTGGTACAAGTTCCTGAAGCGCGAGCCAGGAGGAGCGCTCAGCTGGGAAGGTACGGCCGCCCGCGCGCCCGCCTCCCGCGCTGCCCGGGAGGGCGCCGTCCCCGTCCCCGCCCGCCTCCCGTCCCCTGTGGTCTCCCGACCTTCCGACCCCGCTCCCTCTCCCAGCCCACAAGACGTCGCTTTCCTATCGCGCCAGTGTCGCGGGCCTTCGTCACCAGGGCCCGGCCTCTTCGCCTTCCGTGGCCCCGCTGCGCGGTCCCCGGGCCGGCCGCCGTGGGTGTCAGCGCCCAGCTCCGCCTGGCTTCCGCGCCCTCCTTTCCCGTCCCAGTTCCTAAAAAAAAAAGATATCCAACCAGTGACAATTATCTTTTTCGCTAATCCGAGGCTACAATGTCCTACTTTGTAGAATTTGCTCCCTGGAGTTGGGGAGTTGGAGAGTGAACTAATGCAAAAACATGGAGTATGTACCATTTTCAGTTTTCAGAAAAGATCTCAGATACATGACAGTTGAGGCGTGACCGGATTTCTTGAAATATAAAAATACACATTGGTTGTAAAAATAAAACAATAAAAAGTACGAATTTAAATGTACAGTGTCTTCTATATATGTAAATAAATTGCCTGCACGCACACACTATATATGTATATATACATATACATACACACGTATAATATTTATTTAGCACATACATATATTGTATATATGTAATTGTATATATGTAATTCTGAATCTGCCTTTTTTGTTTAACCATGTTGTGCATACCTTTCAGTGTTACTGCATACAAATGTATTTTATTTTTTAAGTGGAAAAAGAATTCTGCATCCTCCAATGTGTATTAAAGTTATTTCTAGTTTTCAGGTTTCCTCTGTTACAAACAATAATGGTTTGATTGGAAGTCCCTGTGCAAAGTTATCTTTGAGTATTTTGGAGTATTTCCATAGGGTGGATTTAAAGAAGTGAAAATATTGATGAGAATGTAGCCATGTTTTACATTTCAATAAGGGTTGCCAAATTATACTCCAAAAAGGAGATTCCATGGGCTTCTCCCCCCACCCCCAACAGTGTCTGAACTGAGACAACAACCCTCCTCCTCCTCCTCCTCCTCCTTATTCTTCCAGTTGGTGCAAATTTTATAATTTTATTTATTTTTAAATTTCATTATCGTTTAACTTTTTTATTTAATTGATTTTATTTTTTTAAATGCAGACACTGGAATGCATTACAATTCTTATTACACATATAGAGCACAATTTTTCATATCTTTGCATATAAAGTATCATTTAATTTTTTAAAACTTTTTATTGATTCATAATACTTATGCATTAATTAGGATTTATTTTGACATAATTATAAATGTATGGAGCATAATTTGCTCCAACTAAGTCCCCAGTACTTACACTTACCCTTTTCTTCCTCCTTCTCCCTGTTCCCTTTCCTCTACTGATATTAAAAAATTCTCTTTCTCTCAAAAAAAGTTAGTTTCCTGTGGATATACATAATGGTGAAATTCACTGTACTATATTCATACATGTACATTGGAAAGTTTGGTCAGATTCATTCCACTGTTTTCCCTTTATTCTGCCCCGTCTCCCTCCTCCCAACCGCCTTCTTCTACTCACCCCATCTTTCTTTTATTTGATAGAATCCCCTTGATTTCTTTTCTCTTTTTTGTCCTCCATTAGACTAGCTTCCACATATCAGAGAACACACTTGGCCTTTGACTTTCTGAATCTGGGTTATTTCACTTAGCATTATAGTCTCCAGATCAATCCATTTACTAGCAAATGACATAATTTCATTCTTTTTCATGGCTGAGCAATACTTTATTCTGTGTGTATGTACATGTGTGTATATCACATTTTATTTACTCATTCATCTGTTGAAGGGCACGTAGGTTGGCTCCACAGTCTGGCTATTGTGAATTGTGCTGCTATAAACATGATGTGGCTGTGTCCCTATAGTATGCTGAATTTAGATTTATTGGATATATACTGAGAAGTGGGATAGCTGGATCTTATGGTGGTTCCATTCCAAGTTTTCTGACTTGGGAAACTGCTTTCTCCATACTGCTTTCTAGAGTGGTTGTACTAGTCTGCGGTCCCACCCACAATGTATGTTTATACCTTCCCCCCAGATCTTTGCCAGCATTTATTATTATTTGTATTCTTGATAGTTGACATTCTCACTGGATTGAGATGAAATCTTAGTGGAGTTTTGATCTGCATTTTCCTGATTGCTAGGGATGTTAAACATTTGCTTCATGTATTTTTTTTGGCCATTTGTGTTTCTTCTTTTGAGAACTGTCTGCTGAGTTCTTTTTCTCATTTATTGATTAGGTTATTTATTTATTTTTAAGAGAGAGAGAGTTATTTTTAGTTTTCGGCAGACACAACATCTTTGTTTGTATGTGGTGCTGAGGATCGAACCCCGGGCCGCATGCATGCCAGGAGAGCGCGCTACCGCTTGAGCCACATCCCAGCCCCTGATTAGGTTATTTTTGGTATTAAACTTTTTTAAAAAATATTTTTATTAGTTATTGATGGACCTTTATTTATTTAATTGCTTATATGTGGTGCTGAGAATCAAACCCAGTGCCTCACACATGCTAGGCAAGTGCTCTACCACTGAGCCACAACTCCAGCTCCTGGTATTAAACTTTTTGAGTTCTTTATATATTCTGGATATCAATCCCTGTCAGAAGAGTAGCTGGCAAAGATTTTCTCTCCCATTCTGCAGGCTGTCTCTTGATGCTCTCAGTTGTTTCCTTTGTTGTGCGGAAGTTTTTTAATTGGTTGCCATTTCACACATTGATTCTTGGTTTTATTTCTTGAGTTTTAGGGGTTCTGTTAAAAAAAAAGCGGTGCCTGTATCGATATAACCAATATGATGGAATGTTGACCTGTGTTCACCCTGTGTTTTCCTCCAGCAGTTGCAAAGTTTCTGCTCTAATTCCTAAGCCTTGGATCCATTTTGATTTGACTTTTGTGCAGGGTCTCACCCCTTTTTCCAGTTGAAAATAGCATTGGTTATTTTGATTTGTAATCTTTAGTTGCAAGTGATAAAAACAGAATGTGAACCAGCCTAAAAAAATAAAATTAAAAAAAAAACCAAGAAAAAAAAATATTAATTCATGTAACCACATGAAGAGAAGCATGGAGTGCAGCCTGTCTCTCCTCACTTGTTTTCTAACTTAGTTCTTTCTTCCCCTGGGGCTTGCTTTCTTCAGACCTTGCCTTCATTTCCACCAGGCTAGATTCACACTTACATGCTTCAATCCAGAGAAGAAAAACATGCTGGATGTCAGGTGAGCTACCACACTGCATTCTCTTGGTTTTCCCCAAGACCCACAACTCTAGTGCATTCAGTGAATAAATGCGGCAGTGTGCAAGAGACAGCCCTGGGCATCCCGTTCATCTAGAAAGCAAAACTGTTACCAAAACACTCCTCCTTTTCTTTTATATTTAGAATTGGCCAGAATTGTCGTTCTTGACTGTCTATTGCAGAATTTAGCCTAACACATTACTAAGCTGAAGAAAATTAGGATTTTGTTCACTAAGAAAAATGAGGGGAGTGAATTTTAGGTAGGCAATTAAAAAATGTATGCTACATCTTAAAACAAGATATCAAATACGGTATTCGTTTGTTTAATGTGTGACATCCCACCAGACGGTGAACTCTATGAGGATAGGGAAAATTCCTGCTCTTAGTTGGTGCCTAGCAGCTGCTCAGTAAGCATTGGTTGAATGAATGGAGCACAGAGCGGAAAGGAATGGAGGTTTAGCACATCACTATAAACTAGGGTCTGTACTTCACAGATTTCATTTTTTTTAAATCTGACCTACTTTTTTTTTCACTTATAATTTTATCCATATGACCACAATGCATTTAGTCCTTATGACTACAGTGGTCTCTCATACCTGCCTTGTTTCTGAGGGGACTTTCACAGTTTTGAAGAGCACTTCTCAGGTATGTTGTAGACTGTTCCTGTTATTTTTTTTTTCATGATTAGACTGGGGTTATGGGTTTTGGGGAAGAAGATCATAGAAGTGGAATGCCTTTCTTACCACATCCTATCGAGGGTATGGGGCATGACAGGATGAACCTCTGTTGATGTTAACCCTGACCATACCACTGAGGGAACGATGGTTAATTTTCTCTGTGCAAAATTACTCATTTTTATTGGTTTACATACTGTATACCAGTCCCCACTTAAGGAGTGGGGAGTTATGCTCTACCTCTTTGCAGGCAGAATGTCTACATAAATGATGATTCACTTGCATGGGGGATTGGTCTCTATCTATTTATTCATTTTTAACATCAATATGTAAAAGTTTTCATTGACATGATTTGCATAGCATAAAATTCACCCTTTCAAAGCATATAGTTCTGCGGTTTTTAGTACATTCAACAGTTGTATAATCATCAACACGAAAATTCTATAACATTTTTGACATGACAAAAGGAAATCCTGTGCGTATTAATAGGCAGTCCCTGTCCTCTCCTCCCCCATCATTGGGCAGACAGCAGTTTAGCACTTCCTGGGTCTATGGATTTGCTAATTCTGGATATTTCATAGAGATGGAGTCATGTAACATGTGCCCTTTGTAACAGGCTTCCTTCACTTCGAGTATTTCCGTGGATCATACATGGAGCATTTCTCAGAACTTCCTTCACTTTTACTATAATATTCTTTTGTCTGGATTAACACATTTTGTTCATTGATCTGTTGATAGACTGTGGGTCATTTTCACTTTTGGAATAATTTGTGCTTAGAATGTTTGTGTTCAAGTTTTTGTGTAGACATATTTTTCCTTCATTTGGGTATGTACCCAGAAAGGGAATTGCTGAGTCATATGGGGACTGTATGTTTAACTTTCTGAAAAGCTTCTTGTTTTCTAAAGGGACAGTACCATTCTACATTCTCACCAGTCTGTCTGGGAGTCTGTCTCTCTGCATCCTTGTCCACAGCTACTATGTGCATATTTTGTTTTAACCATTCTGGAGGATGTGAAGTGACTTCTTACTGTGACCTTGATTTGCGTTTTCTTT